AAAAAAGGTGGTCCTATTAAATAACTGTCAATGAGTCCCATCCACATACATTAACGGAAAACTTTCGTTCAAAATTAGTTTCCCTCAAACGGGAGGCTTCCTTCGGCCCAATAATGCAGGCTTTGAAAATTTGTCATGCTATCTGGATGCCTCGAGCAAAAAATAAACGAAAATAAAAAACTGCTGTATAGCCAAAAATTAATACTGATGGGCATTTTTCAAGTATGCTTTTTTACTATTCTTTCAAAATAACCAATCCGTATCAAGCAGTTTTAGTTTCAATTGTACCCAGTTAGATAGCTATCGCCTCAAGGAAGTTTTAAAAAATTTTCGACAAATGAGATTTTTCTAAAAATAATCGCTAGATGGGTTAAAATCCACAATTCACAAACAACAATACGACTTTATATTTATTATTCATCTATAATCTAAGTTATTTCTGGATTTCCTTCATTCCGAACATAACGGCATAGTGTTAATAATGTATTCCAGTTGAATGGTTGATAATATGTACAGCAGATTTTCGGAAAACAAACTTTCAATCCCTCAAAGTCTTCCTTTTATAGAAAGAAACAATGATTTAAACATCCCAAAAACTGTTAACTTTTGCTTAAAATTAGGGTTAAATCCACCCGTTACCAGCTCCCCTATCACACCTCCATCAATGGAATGTATGGAATTACCAGTAACCCTGTTTAATGAAATTTCAGAGGATTTTCATTTTTATGTCGTCCTTGTGGATGTTTCACAGATTCAATTATTCAATGTATCTGAAAGATATAAAATATCATCTTCGATTGATGATATTATGAAGCTTTCAATCGCTATATGTATAACATCTTTTGGATGTAGGTACATACCAATAATTGTTTGAGTGATTTTCTACAAAGAATTGATGACTTCAGTACGAATGTTCAATGAATTCTTCAAGGCGTCTTGGAATTTTTCTGATAACATCCAGCTTGATTTTTCGAAAAAGTCTTCCAGGCGTTTCCTGTCTTTCATGAGTTTTCTATCAAGCAATGTCTGCCTGAAACATAATAAAATAGTGAATCTCTTCCTAATGTGAGAGTTGATCGTAAAGTTCCACATTGAGAGTAATAAAACGTAAGTGGCTCAAGTCTTTTTCCGAATATTTTGTCTCTATAAAGTAGAGTCACTGGATGGTATTAGTTATCTAACTCTCTCTACTCTCTCTCTAGTCTTTAGGGCTATCCGGCAAAATTTTGGGATTTTTGACTTTGACACTGACCTCATGTTTTAGTAGCGTCAGCTGGTAGGAGTTAAAATGTTAGCCCTTATTGGCCTTCCATTACGGTTCCGCCATTTCCGAGGGCTATAGAAACCGACCTTTTTGATCTCTCATACGTCACGTCGGAAGAGAATTCATCCAGCAGCAAAGTGGTCGGCACACAAATGGCAGTCGATTTGTCCCGGAAGACACTTCCTGCGGGCAGAAATTAATTTCGGCTCGAAGGAGAGTAAATAAGATTAAAGTCCGGTTGACCCTGCATTAAAGTTGTCTGGTCCGATGCTGCTGTTCCTAGTCCATCGGGGCCACTTTTTCATCTTTAGTGCGCACCGCAATGTGGAAATGCGGCAATGAGTCTTCCCGGATTCCCGGAGAAATAGTCGTTGCTACACCAAATTCACTTATGTTGTCTTTATGATGGACAACACTGATGTTCAATGTAATTTTGTCTAAAGGAAATGATGCAACACACGATAGTAGGGTTGTACTGTTGTACATACATATTCTGAAAGAACAAATATCGAACTTAGTCAAAAATCATAATATCATAACTCCTGTACAATCTGGGTATCGTGCATTCCACAGTACGATCACGGCATTATTAAATATTTGTGACGATATCTTCAAAGCAATTGATATGAATGACATGGTGTGTCTTGTCCTACTAGACTACAGCAAGGCATTCGATACGATAGATCCTGATGTCTTATATGTAACAAACTCAAATTCCTTGGATTCTCTAACAATGCAGTTGTTCTTTTGCGCAGCTATCTTACTGAACGAAGAGCCAATCCGTTATAATGGGCTCTTCCAAGTCAGAATCTTTACCAATTGAGAGTAGAGTACCACAAGGCTCAATTCTTGGGCCAATCCTTTTCTCAATTTACATTGCAGACTTCCACAAATATGTCAAAAACTGCACTGTTCATCACTTTGCCAAAATTCCCTACTAATTCAATTCCCGAATCCGTGAATGCTATTGAATATGATCTCATAACCTCAAGCTTAACCCAACTAAATCTGTCGCCATAGTTTTCGGCCGAAAATCTAAACGAGCGCTACTAACACCTGGCTTCAACATCAACTTAGCAGGAACACTCCTAGCTATGGTTAAAGAAACTAAAAATCTTTGCTTATGGGTTGACGAAGACTTGAGATTTACTAAACATGTGAGTTATCTTTGTCAGAGCTCCTATAATGTACTGAGACAATTGTACCCTAATCGTGACATATTATCAACTAAAATAAAACTTGAATTGTGCGAATCACTAGTATTATCCAAATTGTCATAGATGTGATAGCATTTACGGTCCAGCAATCTTACAGACTGACGCTTTACGACTTCAGAAAATTCAGAATTCCTGCCTTCGATTTTCTTACGGTATTCAGAAATACGACCATATTAGTTCTAAATCCAGAGAATCTTGGTGGCTGAAATTAGAAAGCTTACCCGAACTTCACTTAGTAACTGTTGGATATCAGCCATTGAATGCTTGACCTTTATTGTTTACGATTTATTATAACTCTTTCTAATAATTAACAAACTAAAAATACGTGATATCAATACTATTTTCGACATTTATATGACACTACTACAATGACATTTTTTTCCCCTTGACTTTTGCCAGTTATACAATGTCCTCGATCTCGGTATGGCGAATGCATACACCACACTCCTCCCTCCTAGATTGATGAGTAATCCTCCAGATATCTTGGAGGACGTCTTTCTCTTGTAGGTCTAGGTGGAATGACTTCGGCTGTACTTGATGTAGGAAATCGTTCGCCGTCCTCGTGCTCCTCAGGCGGATTTTCTTTTTCAGCAGATATGTTTAACGGCTCGTCCTGATCGGTAATTTCTTCGGGGTTGCTCCGCGATCGAATTTGGTCTGTATGTCGACGGATTGTACTACCATCTGGTGTTTCAATGGCATACCTCAATGGACCTGTGGGTTGTATTATTCTAGAAGGTATCCATTTCTGTCCAGGTGTGTATGATCTAGAATAAACTAAATCATCTGTATCGAAACTTCTTGGACATGGCATATTTTCTGATTTTTTCTCCTGCTTGGACTTCATCTCTTTGGTGAAATCTGGCTTAACTTTATCCAGTAGTGTATAAAGTTTTCTACCCATCAGTATTTCAGCAGGCGATTTCCCTGTTGAAGCATGGGGTGTAATATACTGAGTCAATAAATACCTGGATAATGTTGTTGGTGTGTCAATGTCTGACATTTTCTTAAGTGCTGCCTTAACATTCTGCACCATCCTTTCGGCTTGACCGTTACTACTCGGATGGTATGGTGCTACCAAAGCTTGTCTGATTCCATTAGCTGCTAAAAATTCTTGGAATTCTTTCGATGTAAATGCTGTACCATTATCACTTACTAGAACTTCGGGAAGTCCATGAGTTGCAAAGAGTTCTCGTAACACTTTCATAGTAGCACCCGTTGATGGACCACTTACCATTCGTACTTCTAGCCACTTCGAAAATGAATCTATCACAACTAGGAAGTATTTTCCATGTAATGGTCCAGCAAAATCTATATGTAATCGAACCCATGGTGCTCGTGACCATTCCCATGGATGTGTTGGAGCTTTGGCTGGCATGTGACGTTGTTCTTGACAGGTTGGGCAAGTACTTACCACTTCTTCTACTTGCTTGTCCAGATTTGGCCACCAGACATATGACCTCGCCAATGCTTTCATTTTCACCATGCCTGGATGTGATGCATGAAGAATATCCAGGATCCGCTTCCTCCCTCCTGGTGGTATGATTACCCTTGTTCCCCAAAGGAGACAATCTTGGTAACAAGAAATTTCTGTTTTTCTTTGTAGAAATGGTTGAAACTCAGGGGAGAATAGCTTGTTATCCGTTGGCCATCCATTCCAAGCCCATTGTAGGATGATTGATAAGATCTGGTCTTTAGCTGTTTCTTGTGCTATTTCCTTAGCAGAAAGGATTTTCTCTGGAATATGCTCCAGCATTAGTACTTCCGCAACAGGCGGCGCTTCTTCAACTTCTGTTTTCAAGGGCAATCTGCTCAGGGCATCTGCGTTACCAATCTTTTTCCCAGGAGTATACAGTAGATTATAGTTGTAGGCGTTTAGTGTTATGGCCCAGCGTAGCATTCGTGGAGAAATCACCTCTGGGGTTGCTTTATTTTTTCCAAATATTCCGAGCAATGGTTTATGATCTGTGCGTAGCTCGAAAGATGATCGACCATATACGTAATCATGGAATTTTTTTACTCCCACGATCAATGCCAAAGCCTCCCGATCGATCTGTGCAAAATTTCTTTCAGAACTGGAAAGAGTTCTACTGTGATACGCCACTGGAATTTCGGTACCTGTCTCTGTGAGTTGGCTCAACACACGGTCACCACCGGAGTACTCCATTTTGGATGTGTAACGGGTTCCAATACACCTTCTTCTATTAACCTATCCAATTCCCGATCAATTCTTTCTTTCAGCGCGAACGGAACTTTTCTGGCTTTGAAGGCAATGGGCTTGACAGTGGAGTCCAAATCGAATGAGAGTGGTGGACCTTTGTAAGTACCTAATTTTTCACTAAAAACTTCAGGAAATTCAGATTCATAATTTTCTAAACTGCACTGTTTTATTCCTGCAATGGACAGTCCCAATGCAGAGAACCAATTTCTTCCCAGAAGACTGGTCCTATCAGCTTTCACCACTATTAATGGAAGTACAGCATCATGATTTTGAAAGCTTAAATGTACTTTACATTCACCAAATGTAGGAATAACACCATTCTGGTAGTCTTTGAGAACTGCAGCTGATTCCTTGATCTCTGGCATATTGTCTTTGAAATTGTCCCGAAATGTTTTTTCACTTATCACTGCAGTGGCAGCACCCGAATCAACTTCCATCTTGATCGGCTGTTTGTTTATCCTCACTGTCACCATGTATTTTTCCGAAACTCTGCTGATCTTGAGGTTACTCAGTGATAAATCATAGTCTCCTGTATCACTGGAGCTGTGACACCATGTATCATTTTCTGTTGATTGGTTATGTACCTGTCTTCTATTCATTTGACGCTTTTTTGCAAAACAGGCCTTTTCAATGTGTCCTTTCTTATTACAAAATCTGCAAGTGGTATCTGCGAAACTGCATCCATCTGCTGAATGCTGACCTTCACAACGGAAACATTTCCATTGACAAGAACTGCTTGATCTAGTATCGTAAGCTCGGGCAGTATAGTTTGGCTTACCTTTGTCAGTCTTGTCTGCTCTGACATGCCTCAGTGTTTCTCCTCTGCCTTCCCCCAACATGGTATTAGATTCCTTGAGAACCGTTAGACCCCGAGAAGCTGTCTCATGGGCTAGGCAGATGTCATACACATTTTTGAATCTCAAATCTTTTTCTGATAATAATCGACGCTGCAATGTGCTATCATTCACGCCACAAACAAGTCTATCCCTCAACATTGTTTCAATTATGGCATTGTTTCCAAATCCACAATTTTCAGACAGATGTCTGAGTTCTTTTGTGAAGTCAGCTATTGACTCTCCTGGTTTCTGATCTCTGCGATAAAACCTGAATCTGTGCACTATCTCCGGATATCAGCCATTGAATGCTTGACCTTTATTGTTTACGATTTATTATAACTCTTTCTAATAATTAACAAACTAAAAATACGTGATATCAATACTATTTTCGACATTTATATGACACTACTACAATGACATTTTTTTCCCCTTGACTTTTGCCAGTTATACAATGTCCTCGATCTCGGTATGGCGAATGCATACACCACAGTAACACTCTCATAAGGTCCTACAGACAGGTGAACCACCATATTTGCGTGAAAGGCTAGTCCCTTTCTCGAATGTAAATCAACTGAACACCAGGAAAAACCATTTACTAGTTATTCCGAGACACTCCACAGCATTATTTACACGTAGTTTTGCCTACAACGCATCCAAACACTATAATTCGCTCCCTACAGAATACAGGAATTTCTCTTTATACAACTTTGAAAAAAGATTGAAACGAACATTAAGATACGTTCAGGACTGAATGATTGCTGCTGAACCTAGCTCTTTTCTATTTGTCAATATTTGAAAATATGAAATTGAATATAATATTATTATTATTATTATCGTCGTTGATGTTATTATCAATAGTATTATTACTCTCATTGTAAATAATATTATTATCATTAGGAATATTATTATTATTATTATTATTTTATCAAAATGAAAACTATATGTGTGTGTAACTATACTATAGGTACTTACTTTCAAATCATAATGTATACCAACCGGATTCCTTCGTCTCTCGCTGCATTTTTTGTGCATTGTACAACAATAGCACAATGTGATGGCATGCGCAAATTAATGAATAGCCGTAAAACACGATTCGTATACCCAAATAATTGTGAAAAACAATTTCAAGCATTTGAATTCCCTATTATGACTTGGGAATCGGATGGAATCTTCACAAATCTAAAGATTCTCTAACGACGATCTAGCTTTCAGAGGCAGCTATACTGGTAAAAGTACAAATGTGTATGGTTATGTACTAGGTCAACTGGATCGATTCTCCTGGTGTAGAAACAGTTTGTCTTGCATCAAGTGACAATTGATTCACAAAGAATCCTCAGAATTTCAATATGGCTTATCGACCACTAAATTCAACTTACAGAAGCAGCAAAAGACCAAAATAGTCAGAGCGTACAAGAATATAATTTCAAAGGACTTATCATATTGATGCTCAAGTGCACCGATTTTTTGTCTTCATTTCCTCTTTGACTATACGTAGTTCTTTCTAACAAGCTGCCACTGTTGCCATGCCAATTCAATAACGGCAGTAGTTGAGCAGAAGTGCTCTCTCGTATCCTGTGCCATTCCCCCTTTAATCCCATATATTGCTCCACTGTTACCGAATGATGTTGCGAAATATATGCATGCAGTCGAATAATCAATTCCTGGAATATTTACATTTCACTAGCTCATGCGAACTCAAATGCCTATACTAGGGAGCGATTAATGATCTGTAAATTCACTGCTCATTATACCGCAGCAGGTTTGAGCTCTGTTGACATAGAAACGACTGAAGTTCTGTTCACTATAAGATGGCTACATTAGTTCACTACCAAACTTTTTTCGTTTTGCCAATTAATGGTATTGCTTTGTACGTCTTGCGTTAGGAAGAAATATATCCCAACTGCATAAGGAAGGAGACTACTTTTTTTAACAACCTCACATTACTCGGCCTAAATGAACCATCTTCCAAAAAAGTACATTTTGCGGAAAATCACTTGAGAAATCATAATAAAAAAGGCGTCCGTTGCGGGCATTGCAGCCGAGTCGCCGACGTGGCACTCAAATACCCAAGCAACAACTACACGGCAGACATACATAAAGAGTTTAGTCGCTGAACTCGCACTGCCATTCTCCCATTGCGCTGAGAAAACTCGGCCAAGTAAATTGTTTGAACAAGTCACTAATGAAAAGTGAATGAGTTACTGTATGACAATTGAATAGGTCACTGATGACAAGTGAGGTGTTCACTAACCGTTATCAATCTGAAATTCAATGAAACAGGTCAATAGTGGTAGGTGTACATTTTCAGGAACACAAATATTCTTGTGGTCATTAACTTGTTTCCTTGTCCCATATAGTATACAAGTTTTTACTTGCCACTATTAAATATTCACTTAGGGTTAGTGATTTTTTCTCTCCGTGCGCGATGATTATTGGTTACCTCCTGTCTGAAGGCACTAGTTTCTGAGCATTACGCTGTTGACAGGGTCACAAAATAGTTTGAGATAAATAATTGGTACTAGTGCAGCAGTTAAGCTAGAATATTTCAATGAATTGTGCACTTTTTGATGAAGGCACCAAACTTGGCACAGAGGTAGACCGATACAATAAATAGAACAATTTGGATGTGGGGCCATCGGCCAACTGCCCTCTGGCGACCGTAGTGGTCATTCAAAATAGCTGCTCGAAAGTAATCAACAGTTATCATCAGTAGTTTTGGGGATGTAGTACAGTATCGTAGATGTAGTGAGAAAAATATTTCGATCTCTACAGGATGTTTTTCAAACGCGGGGCTACAAGATTGGTGATTCATTTAAATGGTACACCTTGTATGTTTTCACATATTTAGATTAATGGTTATCTTTCCTACATAGCTTCGTCTCATTTTTGAAATTCATTTGCGGCGTGGCTATGCTCATTAGAATTATTCTGAAAAGTTATAATACGCAGATGTTGATTGCAACGTGCCTGTTGATCTTCGTTTTCAAATTTTCCATTTAAAATTATGCTTAAACTTTTATGATACTGTCACGATATAATAGATGGTTAGTCCATCCATATCGATTTTAAAGGGGTTTGCTTGGCTTGCGAGAGGTAATATTCAAATAGGCACTAATAGTTTAGGGATAGCTGAAAGTATGAGACTATATTCAAACATAACAATATTTATTGAAGCATGAAACATTATGGGTAGCGATGACAAATATGAATTAACAACAATGAGTATAAAGACCAAATAACAACTTACATTATAATTACCATTACGACGAGCTCTTATCAAGTCAAGAGTAGCCCCAGACCAGACTAACTTCGGAACCCTTACATCCAATATTTATATACATCATTTTATTAGATTTGCAGTTTTCATAGTTCAATGTCAACGGATGATTTGATTACTAATATACCGTATGGTCTACTCGTGACAATACTTCGACTATAGCTTCAATGAAGTCACAATTGAAAATAATCTTACATGGTGATTCATAATGATCTGTTAGAGTTGAATTTTTTGAACTATTATAACTTCCTGTTGCACCACGTTAGAAGAGCAGTTCATCAGGGTGGACATGTCTGGAGTCAGGCATTGGTTCTGACACCAACACTGCCAACACCAACCGTCTGTAGTTGGATCAAGACCAGCGGTGTGTTTGAAAGGCCCTGGACAACTCTACCCGGAGGTGCAAGTCTACTCATGTGGATCTTTCAAAAATTCTAGATCAACTCAGATTTTAACCCCATGAAAACCTCCTGAGGGTATCTCAGAGGGTACATGACCCTTTCAAGATGATAAAACCTGTTGAAATTGAATGAGTTTTTCATGTTTCATAATTTAATTTAATAATGTTTAACAAGTATTGAGAACAGTTTTCTCATCCCCATGACGTTATAGAACCTTGGCTGATGATGGGCTTATTATAAGCCCGAAACATGTCCCCTCAATTGTAACATAACTATGTTCAACTATTAAATGTCGTGAAGATGATTTTGAGATTATCTCTTCCTTCAAACACTACCACTCTACTTTAAGCAGTATGGACTTCTTCACAAGTTTGAATATATTATTATTCAATAAATGTCGAGAGCTGGTGTGAAAAGTGCCGAATTTGATCATTGAAAAAAGTATTCGTGGTGATTTTGAATTACGGATTATTGCATCAAATTCAATTTATACACGAAATGATCAATATGATATATGAAATAAGTGAATATGTGGCGTAAATTCGATTAGTAAGGTATAATAATAATAATGATAATAATAATAATAATCGACTTTATTCACCAATTTAAAAAATAATACAGAATATAATACAATGGAGAGAGAGTTATATGTTTATGGTGAATAGGCGAAGATCAGCTAAACCTGTTTTTCATCTTAACCTCTGTGAGCGAAAAAGAAAAAGAAATAGATATGGAGTTAGTAAACTATAGTGAGCATGAGGAGAATAATAATATTTCTAAAGATAACAATCAAGATTTTTTTTTTATCGCTTGCAGCGCACGAAAGGAAATCCCTATAATGTTCAGAGAACATCGTGCGTTCCTAGGGAGGATAGGGATAGGAGGTAGGTATTGGAATTTTTTTTGAACTTTTGGAGATTATATGTTGCTGGGAATACTTCCCCAGGCAATGAATTCCAGAGCCTAGCCGTTCTATGGATGAAGGAGTCTTGATAAAGTGCTGTTTTAATCTTCTCCTGAAGATGCTAACATAGTTAGCGAAACACGTGTCGAGGCGTTAAAAAATCGGTTTGGTTAGTGGTAAAACAGTGTAGTGTATTATCGTGCCAAAGGTTCCAGTCTTCGATATATTTTCAATCTATTAACATTATTAGCTCCTATTGCAGAAGTAGCAGAAGGAATTTTAATAATAAATGGCAGAATTTCATAATGAAAACTATGTGAGATTACTATTTACCTGAAAAATCATTTTCCTTCGTCTCTTGCTGCATTTTTTCTGTATTGTACCACAGCACAATGAGAAGGTATGCTTGAACTAAAATGAATAGGGTAAAAGACATGATTCGTATGCCAACATTTTGTGACAGACTATTTCAATCCTTTGTAAACAAATAAGAAATGTTTCAATATTTTACAGAAAAGTGAGGTTGTGTTTCAATATTCTACCTCCAGGGTCTGTCATCGTGCACGCGACCTAGGTT